TGCGCCCCCCCCCCCCCCCCCCCGTCCGTCCGCCCACATTCTCTTGAAATTGTCCCCAGCTTCTCGAAACTTCGGGCCGAGCACTCTCCCGCGCCACCGGCACGGCAGGCGAGATCTCCAAGAAGATGTCCGGTGGCCTGGCGGACCTTGCAGGCCGCGGGCCCGATATACTCGCTCGGGTTAGGAGCATCTCCGCTCGGCTCTTTTCTTCCGACGACCAGGACGGTGGTTTGGTCGGAGGCGTTACAGCGGAGGGGGCGGCGGCGGCGGCGGCGGTGGCGGTGGCGGTGGTTGCCGGAGGGGCCGCGACAGCTATCGGTCGCAGCGGCAGCGGCGACGGCGGGGGGGTAGCAGAGACGGGGGCCGAAGGGATTGCCGCCAGCGGTAACGCAGGCCGGCGGGGAGATGCCGTGGTGGAGCAGGGCGAGGAGAGGCGGTTACAGCCGATAGGAGGAGGAGAAGGAGGAAATGGTGTGGCACCGGGGGAGGGGTGGCGGGACGGGGAAGAAGCGGAGGAGGAAGAGGAGGAGGGGGAAGGGGAGGTTCTTCAGCCGGTCGGCGTTAAGCTCGAGACCGGTGCTACGAATGATGGTGCGTCAGTATAATTTTCTCTCAACGGTTGCTTGCCTGACAAGGTGCGGTAGGTCTTTTCTGGGTCGTTTTTGGTTCGATGGTGGCGCGATCAGGTACAAGACACACTTGAATCCCAAGATTGTTTTTCTCATGATGCGAGTGTCATTTCGTATGTCCAACAACAACGTCCTTCCGCCGCCGTGGTCTTGCTTGCGAAGTCTCGGCCATGGGTGTTGTGCGGGATGCACCACGGCAGCTTTGTCGTAGGCGTTGTGCTTGGGAGAGTGATTGTTACAGGACTTGTGGCTGGTACACCCGTGTCAAGCTTAACTCTACGGTATGCTACGATAGGCTTGTATCACACCTGTCTCAAGCTACGACAGGCTCGTAATACCTGTCTCAAATTACGACAGGCTTGTAGCACCTGTCTCGAGCTAAACACGACACTACGATAGGCTTGCAACACCTGTTTCAAGCTAACACAACACACAACACTATGATTAAGCTTGCAATACATGTCTCAAGCTAAACACTACACCACGATAGGCTCGTAAGCTCTTTTTGTTTTGTTGTTGATGATGTGATTGTTCTTGGCGTTTTCCCAGGCGAGCGTTACGGGGAAGAGGCAATGTCGGCTAGTAGCACATTGTGGGATATGATACGAGGAAGCGGCACGGGAGCGGGCGATGCCGTGCGAGAGGTCTCCGAGGTGGGTTGATGTTGTTGTTGTTGTCATTGTCGTTGTCGTTGTCGTTGGTTGCCTCGGGTAATCAATAATGCTGATAGCACACACCGGGGGGGGTTAGCCCAAGAAAAAGTGTCAGAGGTTTCAAGCAGAAACGGCAGGACACATTTTTTAGAGGTGGATGTCACATGGTACCATGTGGGAATCGTCAACATCATGACAAGCGGTCTCCATGTTGATCTTGTGCGATAGCACTTCTCAGTAAAGTATAATTTGCTCACACACACAAATTAATTGATCCCTTCTGCAGAAGACCCTTCCTTTAAGCATACTATTGTTGCTGAGAGATCCTCTCCCAGCCCCTTGCCCCGTGTACGTTGCTCGTTGTGCTGTCTTTCTCGCGCGGTGACTTGCCCCCCCCCCCCCCCCCCTTACTCTTGGCCGTAACTCACACCGTTTTCAGTCCACACGATTTCCACGAAATTTCATCCTCGTAAAGTTAAGCATGTTTTTCTCTACCTCTGAGGCAGTGTTTCTTTTTTTTTATGTTGTTTGGCTGGCTGCGTGCGGCAAAATATTTTCAGGAAGATTTGCTGGAGCGAGCTGCCGAGCTTGGCAAGGAACTTCGCGAAACTGCGGAGGGGCTGGAGGTTTTGAAGCACGAAGTGTCGTCGCTTCGCGAGTCCATCCGGTGGGTCAGATTTCCTAGTCTGGTACTATTGTCTGTTACAGGCGTAGCCCTCGCGTCCGGCAACAACTCTGATAGAGCCGGAGTCGTAGCAGTGAAGGCATGACCCCCATATTGTAGGGGTTCCCTTCTTCCGTTCTGCCGTGCACGCCTTTGGCCTCTTTGTCGAGAAGGGTATTTAGGCATGTTGTTTTGCAGCATCAGCAACAATGCCTTGTTCAACGCAAACAGAGTTGCTGAGACGTTGTTTCCAGCAGCCCTTGTTGCGTCTACCAAGTGTGTTGCTCCTGCGGTACGGTGCTGGCGTGGAAGGGGGGGTCAGGGACGAAGGCGCTTCCTGCTGTAGAGTACCGTAGGAGGTGAAGAGATTGAACTCCCCCTAGACTAATAGTTGCCCCACAACCAACAGGAGGTGCGGAAAGAGCCCGATACATGTACGGAAAGCCCTCGACGAGATGTTTTCAAAAACCACCGCTGTTGGTGTTGGAGCAATCGAGCTTTGATAATCGGTCTGTGGGGTGGTGCCACCTCTCCGCCTCTCGCACAGCAGGGCATTGATTGGTTGGAGAACGTGGTGCTCGCGGGAGCATCTAGGAGATGCATTGCATCAGCGTTTTTTCGCCCGCCCACTCCACCGACTTGAATATCTGCCCTGCAACTCGCAAGCTATTACCCCCTTCCCTGCTCAATTATGTCCTCGCCCGATGCTTGTGCTTGTTGTATCGTGGGCTGTTCAGGGAGAGCGATTTAGAGGGCAGGGCGAGAGCCGTTGGGGAGCGACTGGCGTCCACACTGGAAGGAAAAACAACGAGTTAGCTTTCCATCCATCACAGCCGTAGCTCCACTTTTCGTTTGGAGGTAGTGTGGCCGAAAAGCTCACTCCTCCTGTATATTGATATTTGATGTTTACCTCTAGCGCCGGGCAAAAGAGTGCGGCTAGGCCACCGGGCTTTGCACCAAGGCGTTTGTATTCGACCCTTGCATTCTCGACAGTTGTGGTTGGGTTCCTCAGTTCTTTTTTTTGGTTGGTTTATTGTGTATTTGCGGGGAAGCACGCGAGGAAGAGGGAGACGGAAGGAGAGGGATGTTGGACGTCGGTTTAGCCACGATTGTTTATTACGATATTGATGCTGATTCAGTCAGCATTTCCGAAGAAATTCGCTTGCCGTTTTGGTGGTCGCGCACGACTCGTGCTAGTGCGTGAGACTGTTCGTCGTGCACGAGTTGGACTTGTTTTTGCAGCTGCGTGTCGATTGATGTCTGTCTCCAGTCACCCGCCCGATTCGACGTGCGGTAGGTACCATAGTAAAGAGCCGGTCCTGCAGTTGTTACAGCTAGTTTCTTACTTTACATTTTTTTGTTTTTAGAGGCAGCCGGCCTAACGTTGCTCGGCCCCACCCGCACGCATCGCACCATGACAGCAGTGTGGGAGTAAGTGTGATGATCTTCAAGCTTGTTCAACCAGCAGCAAGGGAGTACTCACGGCCATGTGCGCTATGTGCAGAAGCAAACAATCTTCACACATAAAATAAAAAATCCAATTTTTGTGCATGAGTAGCATGCGTATGCTGGCGCAGGAATTCCGTCATGGAAGGCACATCGGAGTCAGTCACGATTTTTTGCTTTCATTGTGGGTGACAATCTGGCTGTGCAGGTCCCGATAAGCGTAGAACTCTGCCTTCTTCTCGCGTTCTCGAACGTGCCCGTGCTTTGGACGACCCCGCCGTGGTTTCTCGCAGAAGAACGGCTGTCGCTAGAGCCGCTGAACCCCAAATTGTTTCAAACCTCTTGGTGCTACGTAGGGGTGATCGCTGAGTTCAGTAGAGCGCGCAAGGCCCCAGGGTTCCTTTCGTCGCGATGATGGTACCACTGGTGTGTTGTCTTCGTGCCAAGTACCAATGATTTTCAGCTCTTGATCCAGCAAACTTATTTTTTTGTTCGTGGCCTTTCGGTCCCTTCTTCTCAACCCTTCTCCGAAGCCTTGACCACGTAGCCTTACACACCACACATCCTATCTGACTCTCGAGTCTTGGACTACACATTTCACATCACCAGCAGTGCTAACCATTTAGTGCAATGAATGGTCTGGAGTCGGATAATATCTCCTCCCCGAGATTTGCTGAATGATATGCATATGCATATCAACCATCGCTTTCTGCTGGTGTCGCGTGTTCTCCCGAGTCATAGTTAGTTGAATGTAAAAATAAAATATCTGGATATGCCTTCTAGTCTTACCTCAAATGCCCCACCCTGCGTGTTCTGACGGAGATCTGCGAAAAAGGAAACGAACTTGTCTGCAACACACGGCGCTTCACCCCGAAAGCTTCGTCGTTGGGAGCTAACCCTCTCGAGACACGCAAAAAAGCCAAACGCGAACATGGCCCCCTGTGCTGTACTCAAGCGATGTCTGACATTGTGAACCGAGCCTCACCTGACCGAAAGCCACGATTTAGTTTGTGCATTTGTTTTTAATGTGAAGACAACAACAACAACAACAATTTGAGGTGCGACAAACCGCGGGAGCATGTCCCACACTCCAACCGACATACCCACACGATGTTAGCCCGTGCCAGGCATGTGCAACAAACCATGCGCAAATCACGGTTCCTTGGTTGGTGTGCTCTCTGTCTCCTCTCTCTCTGCTCAGCAGTATGCGACGACAGCGGTGGATGGAGATTGTGTGTGGGTTGGGTACGTACATGGGCACGTGTGCCTTGCATGCGAGTCTTTTTCTTATGGAAAACATGTCCACCTCTATATCCATCTATCTCCAAAGGAGCTTTTCCTCCGTGGTTGGCAGAAGAAAATAGTCCAGGATAAAATAAACCTGCCATGGTCAAATCCGCACTCTCCGAAACTAAACATCAGATGCATCTGTCGTTTGTCGTAAAATAAAGAGTGCACCAACGGTAAAACGTTTTACCCGCAATGAGAGTTCTTTGGATCTTTTTTTTGCATACATATTCAAATCTGGATTTGTACCTACGAAGCCAATCAATGTGGGGCCCTCTGGGTGAGCGGAGAGTCCGGAGTGATGTGGTGGCTATGACCTGCCGCCGCAGGCTGGCTATCTCCTTTGGTGCGATGTGGCGAGGAATGCCAAGCGTGACTGAGCGAACTCAGTCAAGCTAGGCTGGTGCGGAGATTGGGCGAGCCTTCGCGGACTCATTTTCCCAGCCTCCCAAAGATTCATCAACTATTCGCAGCTGTTTGGGAAGAATCAGAAGAGTAATGAGCCCTGGGAAGAACAGTGATCTATTGTCACGTATCCCTCAGATCCTATTCCTTGTGTACGTGTGTCGTGCCTCCTGAATCTCCGTATCCTGACGTCAACATACCCGGGATTCGAAAGTTTCAAAACCCACACCCTCAGCCCCTCTCCTCGCGATGGCCACATGATTCCACTATTCTTTTCTGCACCCCCTCTATCTCTGCCCTTCTATCGGACTCACTCCTCATTACAACAACATCATGAAGAAGCTGTCTCCGAAACATCCATCCATCATGCCTCGTCACCACCTCTTCGGCGATTTCTTTTACTCAGGGCTGCTCGCCGGTAGGTTTGTTGTGCTACTGCCGCAGTAGATCTACATTTATTTGCTCATCCATCAGTGGTTTTGTCGGCATCCAGCCATCTTCCCGCGAAGCCACACATGCATCCATGTATATTTGTGTGGTGTGCATGTACAGCTGTAGGCATCTCTCTGCAAACATGAAACCCTATCACCACAGCCGACTCTTCCACTGCTGCTGCTGTGGTGCTGCTCTACATATAGATGGCAGTATTTGGCCTTTGAATCGCTCACTGCGGTGGTTGCGTGAAGCGTCTGTCAGAATTTGTGGAATTCTACTCATCGTCTGATATGCATGCATGATGCGTGTACTAGATATCGAGAGGGGAGAGGATACATATAAGAGATGATGATGGTGCTTGCTTCTTCTGTATGTAGCACACGACACACGGACACGGCGGTGCACTTTGTAAGCACAGGGTTAACAACCAGCAGTGTCAGACAACGACAGCGTCCTCTCCTACCGGCCTAAGCTCTGCACACTGTGTTTCTCACTTTGTTCGGCGGTTGCCGTCAAAATCTGTGACCTTTTTCTTCTCTTGCTTCCACAGATGATATCTTCTTGCGCAGGTAAGTGCCAGGCAGCTTCCATCGTGCAATCAAGACGAGGAGGGTGATGATGACGGTGGTTGGTTGTGCTCTATATACTGCTGTGCGTACAGTATGGTATGTAGAGCCAGACACCATAGGAAACTAAACGAAGAAAGGTATTCTTGTTAGCGTGTTTCATCGAGTTGCTACAGTACATGCCTGCTATCTACATGTATGTGGATGTGTGGTCTACATTCAAATTCTTGGACTCACTGACGGCTGTGTGTTTAGTTGTGGTGTTTGCGCTCAATTTTGGGCGCTGGCCAGTTCAATCTGTGAGCTGTGAGCGCCTACACGAACGGATGCCGTCCAGCACACCCCATCCTTTGCTGTTGTCTGCTTCACCCTGCCTTTTACCCTTCTCCACCGTGCACACGCAGCGGTTGCAGCAGCAGAAGCAGAGAGACCTGAAGAGGTGATACGGACTCAAACTAGAGTCTCCGACGTCTCCGAAGCAGTTTCCGAGGTCTCCGAAATCTCCGAAATCGATCTCGCGACGGGAGTTACAAATCATCGGGAACTGAGTGTGCCCATACGGGGAGGGGGAGAAAACATCCCCGACCCCGCTGGTTCGCGTGTTCTGGCAACCCTTCACGACGTCCAGCGGGCTTGCGTGCAGCACTCTCGCTCTAACAGCACCCAAGGCACACAAAGCTCCACCCGCACCTCGCCGACCTCCACCAGAAACATGGCTCGCACGAAGCAGGTGAGATGTGTAGAGCGTGCCGGCGTGGTGTCGCCCGTCCTATCTCAAGTGTCGGCGTCGAGAGGGCGTCGTTGGTAATTTGGGCGCTGCCTCTTGTCCGCGGGTACCGAGCAGAGATATTACTGCTGCGCCGCCGACGAAGACATCGGAGGCATGTCGGCGGCCGGCCGCGTGAGCACCCGCCGGGCATGGGTGAACTCGGGCGGCGTCGGTGTGTGTTTGACAGTGCGCAGCGGTGTTGGCTGAGGTATATACCGAACGTGTTGTTATTTTGTCGGTTAGGTGTCCGCGGGTTGCCGGTTCCCGTGGTGCGGTTTGTTCGTCATCCGTCTGCTGCTGTGTCTCCCTCTTTTTCGTTTTTGGGTTTTACTAACGTAAAGAAGTTCGGTCCAAGCCGGCCTGTCTACCAGGCGTCTCGTGCCTTTACTCCCCGACCCAGCAACCCTTTTGCTTGGAGTAGGCTGCCAGGGCGTGTCGAGGGTAGCCAGCACGCGCATTTTGTTTTATTTTTTGTGTGGTCCGTTTTTCGGGGGGCTGGGAGATTTCCCATCCCACAGAGCACACAGTTTTCACGGTTTTCTCGATTTTTTATTTTTGTCCGTCGGAATGGCTTATTAGACAAGCGGAATACTTGGATGGAGGGATAACGTGTTGGAAACAGGCGAATTAGCATCTACGAGCTCGAAGCCGAGCCATTCTGTTATCTTTTTTCGGTGTTGTACAGACCTCTTCTTGTATTCCCGTGAGGCCCCGAAATGGCCACTGCTGTGTATGTTGACTATTAGCGTATTTTAGTATGTATCCCTCTCGGTATGTATCGACTTCCCAAAAGGCGTTCTCTCAAAAACGGGAGTAATGGGGACGCAGAAATGGGGTCGGTACCTCAGTCAGGACAGCGCTGGAAGAAGGGTCTCGGGACGTTCGTTCGCGGAACGTGTGCAGTAGCATCCACTGCATCTTCTTACAACCAGCAATAACGTAGCATTGTACAACTCGGGAGAAAATACAACCCAACCCGTTTGGTGATTGTTCATTGGCCAACCCGTTTGGTGATTGTTCATTGGCCACACACACAACCCAACGAGCAAACTTTGTTATCGCAGAGAGACGGCGAGAAAGAGAGCAAACCCTTCTTGCTTGCTCTGGCGCATTTTATATCGGTTGTGGTTGTCGTGCGTTCTGTTCCCTCCGTGAGGTATCTATATTTTTATCTTTCGGTGTTTGCCGGATATTGTGGTACTTTTTTATTTTGCCGACGATATGTGCCCGCGCGTAGGTTACGCCCGCTCTGAAAGGACCTGATTTTACTTGGTTGAGTGTGTCTGTGTCGATCATGTATTCTGACCGTGGTCGTTGGTAAATGATGCGTTCCGGATAACATTCGGGGGAACGTTCCGAGGTTATTTGGCGTGCGGTGACGTGGAGGTTGACTCCCGAAACTGGCCAAAAATAGGTATCACATTTCAGACAAATGTAGGTGTAAAAATGCACAACGCAGCCGTTGTGGGTGAAAAAGGATTAAGTATCAAAGTCGGTGGTGTTCCCACCGGACTGCTGTCGGACGAAATCGGGCAAACCCACTGTGGTGCCGCGGTGGTTTCTAGATCTCTGAACGATCTTAGTCCGTTCTTTCGGACTGTTTTTGAAGCTCGAAATCAAGCGGGTCAACGCTATGTGGCGTACTGTACAGAAAAAGTGTCAGCTGTTGGCTTGAACGCTGCAGCGGGAGAGGTTTAGTTCGGCGTACATACGTCACTTACACCGCACGATCACGTAGCCCGAAATTTCGCCAACGTTCCTCCACGTGTTTTGTTTCTTCTGCAACGCTTGCCGTTTATTGAGGTGCTGTTTGTTTTTTCTCTGTCTTCAGCAGCACGACTTGCTTGGCCACCGAGACTCAAGTCCTTCCTGTTTTTGGTCATGCTCCGTTTTTCTCTCGTCGCCTCTGTCTTGTCCCGCGCGTTTTCCCCAGACCGCCCGTAAATCCACCGGAGGCAAGGCCCCCCGCAAGCAGCTCGCCACGAAGGCCGCTCGCAAGTCGGCCCCGACGGCAGGCGGCGTCAAGAAGCCCCACCGCTACAGGCCCGGAACCGTGGCTCTTCGCGAGATCCGTCGGTACCAGAAGTCTACCGAGCTGCTCATCCGCAAGCTCCCCTTCCAGCGGCTGGTGCGCGAGATCGCGCAGGACTTCAAGACCGACCTCCGCTTCCAGAGCACGGCCATCCTGGCCCTGCAGGAGGCCGCCGAGGCCTACCTGGTGAGGATTGATCGGCTGCTGTTGTTGCTTTGTCGGTACTGTACACGGCTGTGCGCCGGTGTTCCTCGCTGATGGTAAGGGTAGGGGCATCGACTGTCGCGGTCGGGGGGGGGTGTTGGTTGAAGTGCATGGATTAGAATGAACACTAGGGGCGGAGTTACTTGCGGGGGGGTGTTTCATGCACATGGTTCACTTCAGGAAGTAGCCCGTATACAGTAGCATCTGGCGAGGGCAACGGGGCAGCTCCCCATTTTTCGCACGTCGCTGATTGTGGACAGCGAGCCAACCACCCACAAATAGCC